GATCTGCCGCCCTCTGCTCGGTGCAGCACTTATTCTTCTCTGCGCTGTGGACACCGCCGTCCCGTGCAGCGATAGAGAGCTCGCTCAGTGGGTCTGATGCGGGGGATGCTGCCCGGGAGGTGCTGCACATGCGTGGCACCACCCCCGTGAACGCCCGTGGGAAGTCAGGCCTGATCTCTACTTCTACAGGGATCCCGAAGGGATTGCAGAGGAAGAGCAGGCAGCTGCTGAGAAGGCTGTGACCAAGGGGGCATTTCAGGGCGAATGGGCCGCACCAGCCCCCCAGTTCACTGCTGCTCAGCCGGAGGCTGCAGACTGGTCTGAGGTGAGCCGGTGTCCTCTGCGCCTATTCAGCGCTTCCCTCCCGAAGACCGGAGGGCGCAGGCGGCCACAGAGGGCGGGTCTGCAGCCCCCACTGCGCAGGCCGCCGCGTGGGGAGAAACCACCACCGAGTGGTCTTGAGCTGCTCTGCAGACACCAGCAAAATGGAAATGAGGCTGATGGAAAATAAAACACCAATTTCTTTAAAAAAAAATTAAATACTTAAAAATTAATCTAACTAAGGAAGTGAAAGACCGCTATAATAAAAACAATAGTACACTGAAAAAAAAAAGAGATCAAAGAGGACATTAGAAAGTGGAAATGAAAAAAAAAAAAAAAAAGAAAGAACATGGAAATGTTCCTGGATAGGCAGAACCAATATTGTCAAAGTAGCCATACTATCAAAATTGATTTATAGATATGATGAAATCCCAATCAAAATACCAACAGAGCTGGGTATGGTGGTGCACACCTGTAATCCCAGCGTTCCGGAGGCTGAGGCAGGAGGATCATTGCAGTTCGAGACCAGCCTGGGCTACAAAGTGAGCTCAAGGCCAGCCTGAACTGCATAGCAAGACCCTGCCTCAAAAAGACAAACAAAACAAGACAAAACAAAATACCAACAGAATTCTTCATAGAACTAGAAAGAACAATTCTAAAACTTATGGAACCAGAAAAGACCCAGAATCACAAAAGCAATCCTGGGCAACAAGAGCAAAGGTGGTTACATTACAGTCCTGGATTTCAAGTTATGTTACAAAGTTACATAGAAAGAAACAGCACAAAAACAGAATATGGACCAGTGGAACAGAATGGAGAATACAGAACAACCCCAGGCACGTTCAGCCATCTGATCGTGACAACAGGGCCACTGGAGAAAAGACAGCCTCTTAAACAAATGGTGCTGGGAAAACTGGTTCTCCACATGCAGAAGAATGAGTCTAGACCTGTGTCTCTCACCCTGTACTAAAATAAAATCAAAGTGGATAGAAAACCTGGATATTAAAACCAAAACACTTCATCTGATGGGAGACAAAATAGGTAAATCTCTTGAAGACAGAGGCATAGGCAAGGTGTTTGTTTGTTTTTAATAGAACTCCAATTGCACAAGAAATAACACTAAGAATAACAACAACAACAAAAAAAAATCAAAATAACTTCTGCACAGCAAAGGCAACAACCAAAAGAGTGAAAAGACAACCTATGGAATGGGAAAAAGATACTGCCAGCCAGTCTTTGACAGAGGACTAATATCTAGAATATATAAAGAACTAAAAAAATTAGACCCCTAAAATAAAAGACCCAATCAAAAATGAACAATTGAAGTGAATAGACACTTCTCAAAAGAAAAAGTACCAATAATCAATGAAAACATGAAAAAATGCTCAGCGTCTTTGGCTGAAAAGAAAAATGTAAGTCAAAACAGCACAGAAGTTCCATCTTACTCTGGAAAGCATGGCTGTCATCAAAACCTCAAAAAACAACAAATGCTGGTGAGTTTGTGGGGGAAAAAGTGGGAATGTAAATTAGTAAAACTGCTATGGAAATCATTATAGAGATTTCTCAATATGTAAAAATAGAAATTCCATTAATCCACCTAAACCTCTTCTGGGTATCTTCCCCAAAGAGTTAAAATCATCATATTACAGTGAAACACATACCCCTATATTCACAGCAGCAGAACTCACAATAGCTAAATCTTGCAAATGGTATATTTGCTCATCAGCAGATGAATGGATAAAGACAATGTGGTGTATATATACACTCCAGAGTATTACTCAGACATACAAAAAGATAAATTTGGGTCACTTGTAGGAAAATGGATGAACCTTGAGACCATAATGCTAAGTGAAATAAATCAGACACAAACGTTTAAATATCTCATGGCTTCTCTTATATGAGACACCTAACATAAATAAATTAAAGAGCAAAATAAAAGACATGATAGAAAACAGGGAGGGAGACCTTTTGGCGGTGGGAAGGGAATTTAGGGTTGGAGGGAGAGGGGTGAGAGGGAAGGGGATCTCTACTTCTTAAGAAGGGGATCTACTTAAAAGGGATTAAGATTCAATATGTATATGTACCAACTCTGCACAAGGAATATATTCATTACATATTGAAAACATGCACTAATAAAAATCAAAATATCTGATTTATGTACTGTAAGAGATTAAAGATTTCGGACCAATGGTTACCACAGAGCATGCAGGGTCATTTCCATCTTAGAGTACAAGTGTTAAAGTCATTTATCTAATCATGTCTCCAACCGACAATTTATATCCATTTCTATTTTCAAGGGCCGCCATACATCCAAGATACAATTTCAGGATACAACAATTATTATCAGATTTTTTTTCTGGTACTGGGAACCAATGTCATCAGGTAGCTTCCTTTATTTTTATTTTTATTTTTTTGTCTTTTTGAGACAGGGTCTCGCTATGCAGTTCAGGCTGGCCTTGAGCTCACTTTGTAACCCAGGCTGCTCTGGAACTCGCAATGATCCTCCTGCCTCAGCCTCCCGAGTGCCGGGATTACAGGCGTGCGCCACCACTCACGCAAGGTAGCTTCTTTTACAAATGGCTCACCAAGTAAACGCTTTCCAGGTCCTTTTTGCCTCAAACGAAGAACTGAACAAGACAAGCCAAAACCGGTGCCAAAGTTTATTTAAAAAGTGAGGGGTGAAGGGGTAAGGGAGCAACTGGCTCTGCGCAAACTTCGGCCAAACAAAAGAGGCAAAAATAAAAGTACATTCTGGGTTGGGAGACACAGGGCGGGCTACCGCGAGAAGGACGGGACACCGTCTGCGTCCTTACACGCGTCCGCATCTCATGGGAACCCCGAGAGGTGCAGATACGGGGCCTGGGGAGCATGTGGCGCTGTCCTGGGGTTTTGCAGTGGACAGGTCGGCTTCGGCAACCCGTTCTGACCAGCAGCACCAGGGCCACACACACCCCGCTGTGGACGATGGAGACAAATTTTGCAGCAGAATAGAAGAGGCTAAGCGGAAGGCACAGGGCACTGTGGGAGTCAGGGGAAGGGGACAGAGCTCTCGCTCTGTGCGGGTACTGCCACCCAGTCACGTGCTGCAGGGTGCTGGGCACTGCGAGGTTTTACGGCAGAGCCGTCGAGGCACAGGACGCTCAAAGAACCTGTTCAGAGTCACAAGCTACCAGATGCTGCGAAAGGGATCTGAGCCTCGGCGGCATGGCTCTGCAGTCTGAAATTCTCCGCAGGTCAAAACCTCACGAAGCACGTGAAAGTAAGCTGTGCTTGAAGCATCCGGCCAGGTGAAAAAAAAAGAAAACGCATGGTCATCCTTAGAATATAGACTGGGATAACTGTGCTTAGTTGTGACTTTCGTTCCTCCCTTCCACCACGAGAGTTCGCATTTAACGTGGGGAGAGGTTTCACAGGTGCACAAGAAAGGCAGGAGGGGGAACCTAACTTCCGGCGACGGCGGAACTGTTTCCACAGAAACACTAACGGGTTTCCAGCTAGGTGAGATCTCGCGGGGCCTGAACAGGCGGAAGTGACGCCAGCCACATTCGGGCCCCTGTGCTGTGTCGCCGCGGCTCCTCCTCCCAGAGCGGCTGGCTTTTCCCGCGCGAGCCGCCTCTGCCGCTCGGGCCGCCCGCGGGGAAACATGGCGTCTGCCTTGGAGCAGTTCGTGAACAGCGTCCGACAACTCTCGGCCCAAGGTGAGGCCCTGGGATGTGGGGCTGGGCCTCGGGGGTGGGCCTGCATCCTCCGGCGCCAGCGCGGACGGCCGGGACCGCCCTCAGGAGAACCGCACCTCCTCTTGCGGCCGAGCGCGGGGTTGCGACCGTCAGCCGGGGAGGGTGGAGCGCAGGGTGAACGTGAGCGGTCTCCCGCGCTCGCGGCCCCGCGGTGCCGCCGGCCGCCTCCCTCCTCGGGCCGCCGGGGCTCTCCTCCCCCCGGCCCGGGCCCCTTCCAGCGGGTGCCTCGCTTGACAGTTTGGGGGCGTGACTTCCGCCGGGCGCCTCCTGAGCGCCCATTGGCCCCTTCGGGTCCGCCGACTTCGGTGATTGGCGCAGCGCTCTGTCCTGCCGCCGCCGCCGCCGCCGGACTAGGCCGCTGGGCGACCCGCACCCGGAGTCCTTCCTGGGCTCCTGCGCTCGGGGGTTCGCTTTACGGGCGCAGGCTCGGGACCTCGCGCCTGTGTTTGTCCCACCGAATACCAAGGGAGTTCTCGCCTGCAGAGCACCGTTTCTAGGGGATGGAATTTTTACCTGGGTTATTTTGCCCTTAATTTTCATGCTATTTGGTTCATTCATTTTATCGTCTGAAACCACAGAATACGGGTTTCCGAATAGAGTAATTCGATGCTAGCTTTGAAGGCCCCCTTGCCCCATGCTTCAGTCTCTCTTATCTGCAAAATAAAAATAAGGTTCTACTTCATAAAGTTGTTGTGGGAATTGAATGAGAAACCGTGTAAAAAAGTGCTTGAGTCAGATCGGATGCAATAGATAGATGTACGAGTTATTGTTGATGGCCGTTAATTGTGAAGTTCAAGGGCTGTGTGACCTTGGACAAGTCACCTTCAACCTCTTCAGGCTTTTATCTCCATGTGTAAAAATGCAGGCGTGCTGCCTGCTTTAATGTTATGAAACTTAAGTGACCTGGTGTGGAACTGTGCTTAGTAATAATTCCCTGGCGTTCTCTCTATTGATAGAAATTAGGCTCACAAGTCAGTTACAGACTTGCATGTTTTACGAATGAAGAAGCCATTTGTGGATTCATGTATGCCACACACACTTAGTTTCTACTTCAGGACGTAAAGATGCACGTTGGAATCCTGTCTCAGTCCCTTGTGTGAGCATTGGATTTCTCTGGGCCAGTTTTCACATTCACAAAACAGAAAAGGGCTGTTAAGGGCATCGAGGTGGGTAACTCATGTGAAAGCCTTTGATTCTTGCTCTGTGCAATACACTGTTTTAGGAAGTCTGCTAGGTAGAAGTAAATAGAAATTTCACTGCCATCTGCTCACTCGTTGCACAGGAAATGCTTATAAGTTTCTGTTCTAGGTGCTCTTATTCAGAATCTTCTAACATGCACCTCAAGTGGAAAGAATAGTATCAGTATTTCGGATGCACCCTGTGACACTTGAAACTTACTTTTGATTCTGCACTAGTTAACATCTGATGACTCACAGCAACCCAGCTTGCAAGTATTAAATTGGGGGAAAACTAGTGGACTGAAATGCTTATTTCTGGGTGTTTCAAATTGTTGTAAATTGCCGGATGTGGTGGTGCAGGCATTCAGCCGGCTGAGCCAGGAGAATTACAGCGAGTTGAAGGCCAGCATGAGCTGCATAACAAGACCCTGTCTCAAAAACAAAAATCCCAAAGAAGTGTGTTGTAAATTTACTTAAAGTAGTGGGCTTTGGCCACGTGTGGTGGCGCACACCTGTAGTCCCAGCACTTGGAAAGCTGAGGTAGGAAGATTGTTTCGAATTTGAGACCAGCCTGGGCTACAAAGTAAGCTCAAGGCCAGCCTGAACTGCATAGGGAGACCCCGTCTCAAAAAGACAAAAAAAAAAGAAAACATGTAGTGGGCTTTGAAAAGGGAAAATCATTTAACTGGGAGAAAATATTTCATACCTGCCAGTGAATTCTATGTAATAAAATAATGGTGGGGTGATAATATCTAGTTTGACAGATGTTTATTGTTTTGCAATATGTGTGATAATGAGATACTTTCTTTATTTTCAGTAAAAGATGGATTTTAAATATGTTGCAATGTAGAAGCCCCAGAAATGAAATTATCAAAGTCTCTAGTGATGTCATTTGGATTTAAGCATTATACTATGTGAGCACCCTTTCAATAAAGAAAAAATTCACATAGCTACTATATATAAATAATGCAGGCGGGAGCCTGAGACTAATGCCCAGGGACCCACATATACCACTGCTGCCACCAGAAAGGCAGCTGAGGGGTACCCAGTGTCTGTAATTAGATTGTTGTGTATTGTAGTACAGGGGAAAGATCAGTAAGTTAGGAGTTTAATTCAACAAACCACTGGTTTGCTTGGCTATAAGTAGTCACTATTTTGAAGCTGGGGGAAGAGACCAGTCTATTCATTTGTGTGGAATCACTACCTTATCACAGTCCCCTATATGCAGAGAGAACATATATCCAGCTGAATGGTGGAGACAGGCCGTGAGGCAAGGGCCCAGGAAAGACCGAAGGCTAACTCTGTTGTTGAATTTTGAGGCCCCGGTAGCAGGGGGTCTGGGGTGAGGGGAATGAGAACAGCATGTCTGAAAGCATAAAAATGACAAAATACGGAACATTGATTTTCTGAGGTTGGTGTGACCAAAGAGTGGGTGGGTGTGTTCAGGGAGTTAGCAAGAGGTAAATTGGAGAGAAGACGGGGACCAGTTACTGAAGGGCTCTGTAAGCCAGGCTGAGGCATTTAGATTTCTTAAAGTCATTGGAGTTATTTAATGGAATTTGCATTTTAGAACGATCAGACTGTACCAGCATGAAGTATGGATTGAAAGAGTGAAAGATGGACGTAGGCATATGCTTCAGAAGGTTTACAGTACAACGCAGCTCAGACACAAGATGGTGAGGATCCAGACTACGGAAGGGAGTGGAGCGAAGGAGTGGAGCTGAGGGACTTCCAGATTTTGATTAAATGATACTTGGCGACCTTTTGCGTACAGAGAGAGAGATGCGAGAGGAATGACAGTAATGCGTACATTTCTGGCTTGAGGGACTGGATGGAGAACTGGATAACAAGGAGGCCCGAGGGAAATGGGAGTTCTGGTGTCGTCTCCGGCTAGTTCTGAGGCTGTGGGCAGGTTGTTTGATCCCTCTGCTCCTTCTGGTTCTCGTCTGAAAGATGGAGACATAAGACCTCATCTTTAGGCGCGTTAGTCTGAAGTTAGAGTTCCTTTAGCTCGGTTAGTGCTGTGACTGAATGCTAGTGTTCCTGTTTTGCAGGGCAAATGACTCAGCTTTGTGAACTGATCAACAAGAGTGGGGAGCTCCTTGCGAAGAATTTATCCCATCTAGACACTGTGCTTGGGGCGCTGGATGTACAAGAACACTCCTTGGGCGTCCTTGCGGTTTTGTAAGGGCATCTTCTTTTATAGTTTTGTGCTTGTTGAAACTGAACACTCTGTACTTTCTGGCTTTATTCACTTACTTTTGGCGTAGAAAGTAAGCTATGCAAACAACACTTGAGTTCTTTTGCAAAACTATTCATACCATAGTTGTTACATTTTACTCCTTCCAGCTTGTTGCTTACCATATCTTGTTCAGTTTTATCATTTTCCTTTTGTTTATAGTTACTTTTGTTTATAGTTATCTACATTTTGAAATTTTATTTAAAATGAATGGAGGGATGGGGGATAAAACTCAGTGGTGCAGTACCTGCCTGGCAGATGCAAGGTCCTGAGTTCGATTCCTGGCACCAAAAAAAAACAAAAACAAAAAGATGGAAAAAAAAAAAAAAAACAACGAATGGCCATTGCAGTTGTGAGCACTATAGTTTGCATTTATCTGAATACATTAACTCATGTAGTATATAGTTTGTTCACATTTTCTAACTTAGAAAGAAAATAGAATGGAGCAGAGTGTGATAGAATACATACAATGAAAATATTAATTTTTTATTTTAATACTTGGCACAGATCTTCAAACAAATTTAAGCTCTTTAAGACCAAGTTAAAGGACGTATTTCAGTTGATGTTCCTTATAACTCTTCTCTAGATGCAGAATTCTTCTCTTGCTGCTGTTAATGTCATAGTGTTATAAATTGGGATATTGTGGTTGTCCTGCGATTTGGAATAATAGAAGTAAACTGAGAAGAAACTGATGTAAAATGGAGGTCTGGTTTTACTCGTACTGTTGTTTTAATCATACTGTGATTCCTGAAACAAACATAAGTGTCAGGAGCAGAATTTAGAGAAGAAACCTTATGAGAATAAAAGGGTCAGGAGCAGTACTCTGTAGTATAGTGGCCACTAATCATAGTAGCTATTTAAAACTAATGAAAATTAAATAAGGGTAAAGATGTAGTTCCTTGGTATGCATGCTGTAATTCAGGTACCCTGTAGCCACAGTAACCATTGTGTTGGCCAGCAAAGATGTAACGTCTTTATACCATTGCAGACAATTCTGTGGGACTGTGCTGTTAAGGAGTTGGCCAACAGGGTGCCCAGCATGGTGCCCAATGGGCTGGGGACATAGCTCAGTGGTGGAGTGCTTCTTGCCTACCATGTGCAAGGCCCTGGGCTTAATACAGGTACCATACACATGCAAAGAATTCTGCTGTGTTTTCCTGTGCTGCTTACCAGTATGAACGAACAGATAGCATGAATGTTTTATACATATGCACTTGTTTTGTCTTATATACATAAACTCACATATACTACATTTTAGGTGGGATAGTGTACATGAAAGATACTGAAGCTAGAGTGCAGTGATGGCGAACCTATAGCATGTGTGCCGCAACCAGCTGTTTGTTATCATTGAAAGCTCTAAAAGGTTCGCCATCACTGCTATAGTGTAACCATTGTTACCAGTTACTCTATAGTCCTAGAAAACGCTGAACCTGTAACTGGTGCCCTGGATTTAAATGTAGATTCTCCCAATTACACTAAGCTTTGTATTTTATTTATAAATAATGTCTTACTGACTTCTTATGAACCCTTAATGAAAGTGTTTCTGGTATATCTTGATTATTACAAAGTGTAATTACAGATATAAGGTGACATTATTAAGTAAAAAACTACTTTATAGTCAGGCGTGGTGGCACACACCTGTAAGCACTCAGGAGACTGAGGCAGGAGCATTGTTGTGAGTTCGAGACCAGCGTGGGCCAGAAAGTGAGCCCAAGGCCATCCTGAACTGCATAGCGAGACCCTGTCTCAAAAAGAACCACCACCACCACCCCCGCCCACCCAAAAAAAGTACTATACAGATGGAAGTCAAGCTGAAAGATGTAGGAGATACTGGATTAGGTAATAATATCATTTCATTTTTCTTGCAATTAACTTCAGGGTTTTTAAAATTTTATTTTAAGAAAAGCTTTATGTTTGCTTATAACAGTGGTAGTGTGGAATTGTATGATTTCTTCCCTGAAGCCTGTCTGTGACCCCTGGCACCATTTACTGGGTTATTCAGGATGAATCATTTGCCTCCTTTTCAACATCTCTCTTCCGGTCCTGCCCATCAGCTAGTTCTGTTAAGCTTTTCTTGAAGATAGGTCACAGCATCACCAAATCCTGGCAACAATGTCTTTAACCTGAGCCACTGCTTTAGATTCCCACTAGTTCAGGCCTATCATTTCTTGCCTGCCTTCAGTACATTCTTAAAGCAGGAAAAGCAACAACCGATTTTTATTTTCTGCTACTTTGTGCATACTAAGCACATGCTGTACCACTGAGCTGCATCCCCAGCTCCAACAGTTGATTTTTTTTCTTTTCGTGCTAGGGATTAAACTGAGGGCTTTCATACTGGGCTATATTCCTAGTTCTTTTTATTTTTTATTTGGAGACAGGGTCTCACTAAGTTGCTTGGGCTGGGCTTGAGCAAGTGTCATGACCATGCTGGAGCAAAAGGGAAAATTTGAGAAACAAATTTAGTTAAAAGTTTATATTTAGAGATGAGTGTGGTGGTGCACACCTGTAATCCCAGCTGCTTAGAAGGCTGATAATCATGAGGCCAAGGCCAGCCTGGGCAGCATAGTGAGACCCTGTCTCAAAATAACAAATAAAAACGGCTGGAGATGTAGCTCAGTACTCCTTGGGTTCAGTCCTCAATACTGAGAAAAACAAAACAAAACCCAAAACTGTGTACATGGTTCATTCACAAGTACTAAACAGCTTGCTAGTTGGCCACATTTGATGGAATTTCTCATTTTGAAAGTTGCTTTTAAGTATATTTTTCTTAGTCCCTATTTGTGTCTTTATTCTGTATTTGATTATGCAAAAGAACATGGAAACTTAGTCTTAATTTTTAAAAATACTTTTCCTCATTTAACAGACTACTGGAGGCAGGGTGGACTTTAGACATAAGTTGTTTCTATGCTTTGCCCCGTGAAATATCAGAGTAATTAGATTCTTTTCTCCTTATTCTAGGTTTGTGAAGTTTTCTATGCCCAGTGTTCCTGACTTCGAAACATTATTCTCACAGGTTCAGCTTTTCATCAGTACTTGTAATGGGGAGCACATCCGATATGCAACAGACACTTGTAAGCTAAGTAATACGTTATGTTCTGTTGAATGTATTTTGCTTTTATAATTACTTACGTTTTCAACATTTTGTTATTATTGTATCTAGTTGCTGGACTTTGCCATCAGCTAACAAACGCTCTTGTGGAAAGAAAGCAGGTAAGAATTCTTATCAGGTATTCAAGGTTCTGTTGTAATGGGTCTACAGCTTACACAGTGAACTGGTTTATTAAGACTCCAAGTCAGTATGCAGCACGCTAACACCCGAGTGCTTGTGGTTACTAGAGAGCGCCCCAAGCTTTTGCTGTAAGGGTGCCTCGTCCCTTTGTCAGAAGAGTGACCCGGGGCACATGCGATGGTGCACGTCTGTACTCCCAGCACTCAGGAGCGTTGAGGTAGAAGGATTACAAGTTTGTGGCCAGCCTAGGGAGACCCTGTCTCAGAATTTTTTTTTAAAGGCCCTAGGTTCAAGGGGCTGGGGATTTAGCTCAGCGGCAAAAGCGCCTGCCTGGTAAGTGCAAGGTCGTGAGTTCAGTTCCCGGTACCAGAAAAAAAACAAAAAAAAACCAACAACAAAAAGGCCCTAGGTTCAGCTTTTCATGCATGTAGAAGAGAGAAGAGAAAAAAAGAGACTGGTTGTTGCTTTTGAAACTGCCACTCTGGGCTGTGGTAGAGCATTGACCGAAGCACGTGAGAGGCCCTGGGCTCCACTGGGTTCTCTCCCCAGCACCACACACACACACAAAATAACAATAAACAAAAAATAAAGAAACCAATTTTGTGCCCTTTATGTTGTAACCTACTATTTTAGTCTGTTAGTTTTTTCACATATTTTTGGCCTTTCAAAATGCTGCAGCAGCTGAGTGTAGTGGCACAGGCCTGTAATTCCAGCACTTGGGAAGCTGCGGCAGGAGGATCACTGTAAGTTTGAGGCCAGCTTGGGCTGCAGTGAATTCAGGGCAAGGCCAGCCTGAACTACACAGTGAGACCATGTCTCAAAAACAAAACAGAATGAAACAAAAAGGTAAAGTGCTGCAAGAATAATATAAAGAATTATCATGTATACCTCATCCAGATTTTCCAAATGGTAATGTTTCCACATTTGCTTTTCTTTTTCACTCTATCAGTTTTTCTTTCTGAAGCATTGGAAAGCAAATTTTAAATAGGCTATCCTTGCCTCTAATTACATTAATGGGTGCTTCCTAAAAATTAGGACATTGTTGTGCATGTGTGTCTGTTTGTCAGTCTTCCTATGTGTTTGTATGTGGTATTAAAGACAATCTAGGGCCTTTGAACTGACTACATCCACAGACCTGTTTTATTTCTTTTTGAGACAGGGTTTCATTATGCAGTTCAGGCTGGCTTTGAACTCACAGTGATCCTCCTGCCTCAGCCTCCTGAGTGCTGTAATTACAGGCATGCACCACCATGCCTGGCTTAAGACCTTGTTTTTTTTGAGACAGTGTCTTGATAAGTTGTCCAAATTGGCCTTGAGCTTGAAATCTCACTGCCTCAGCCTCCTGAGTTTCTGAAATTACAGGTAGGCACCACAGTCAGATGGCCAGCACCTGGAAATAGATGTTGATATAATCCTTTTATAAATCCACAGGCTCTCATTCATATTCAGCTGTTCAGCTATATATTAAGTGTGCTCTTTTTTTTCCAATGAGGATTGAACCCAGAGCATTGCACGTAGTAGGCAAGCTTTTTACTCTGTGCTATAACCCCAGGCCCAGCTAATGTGTTTTATAGCAAAACAAGACCTCAGGTCTTATGCTGTTGTATTTCTTTAATCTCCTTTCACTGGAGGCAGTTCGTTCTTCACTTTTTGTGATACTCACACATGTTGTAATGTGGGTATTTCTTTTTTATTTGAAAGTAAACTTTTAAGATTACTTGCTCTAAAGAGGCTGATGGCAGAAAGAACCAGTTGCTATTCCGTAGGAGGACTAAATCAACTGTCTGAAAGAGATGGTTTTAAAAAAATAAGTCAAAGCGGATATGGGTGCTTGCTTATAGTCCTATGTACTGCACTTGGGAGACTGAGACAAGAGGCTTGCTTGAGCCCAGGACTTTTAAGTACAGCTTGGGCAACCTAGTGAGACCCTGTCTCAAAAAAAAAAAAAGCCACCAAGTCTTTATAGAAAAGGCCATAAAGTAAGTTACTTATTTTTATTTATTTATTTATTTATTTATTTATTTGTGTGTGTGTGTGGTACTGGGGATTGAACTGAGGGCCTTGTGCATGCTAGGCAAACACTGCCACTGAGCTACATCCCCAGCCCAAGTTACTTACTTTATAATCTCATCTTCTGTCCAAAGATTGTGCCTTAGGCAGAAACAGTCTGTTTTAGCTTGTGTTAGTTTTAGTAATGATACACTACTAAATAAGGGCTTGTCTGACCCCTGGGAAAAAGCCAGCACCTTTATCACAATTATTGTAAACATAGGTTCTCATTTATTGTAATGATTTGGAAAACTTTTATTTGTTTAAATTTAAGTATAAGCTATTGAGAAAGTGATACTTTTGATTATTGTTTTTTTTTTGTAAAAAAGACTTTTGATTAAAATGTGGTGCTGAATTATCTAAATATTCTAAGAAGCAAGGGACAGACATTTCCTGACAGTATGGAAACCTCACATTGTTATTTAAAGGAACCTATCAATTAGTATTATTTTTTATTTGTAAGTGACAACATAAGATCCAATGTGCTGCCATCTTTGAGAACTTGTCTGAAAGAGATGTCGTTTCTGACAGCCCCTGCGAGGAATTGGTATCCTTAAGCAAGCCATAGACAAGATGCAGATGAATACAAACCAGCTGACCTCCATACACGCTGATCTCTGCCAGGTAAGGAGCACGGTGTAAAGCTGGTCAGGGGCTTGCTTAACACTGTATTGGATGTGTAAAGGTTATTTGGAAGAGACTGTGTTACGTTGTAGGAGTTGGAATATGCAGGTTGGAACTTAACAGCTAGTAAGCTTGTAGACCAGATATGGCAGTTAATGATTGCTTGTAACATTAAAACAACAAAGACCCCTCAAACCATTTTCTTTTGTAGAAGCTACAAAATCTGAGAATAAACCCAGATAAATTTTTACACCTTAAAATACTCATTTATTTATCTTACTTTACGTGACTCAAAGACCAGAGGCAAAAAAGAGGATATGTAGTGAGTCTACCATTCTGTTTGCTAGCCAACCATTTCTTCTCTCCAAAGAAAACTATTATTAGTAATTTCTTATGTATCCTTTCCAGGGTGTTTCTTGCACATATCAAACGTGTATGGGTATATAGTGTTAGTTTTTTTCTTTTTTTTACAAATTCTAGTAATCTGTACAAATTCTTGCCTTTTCCTATTTAATGTATCTTAGAGCTGATCCCTTAGCAGCTGCATGGTGTTCCATGACATGAGTGTGATGTAGGTCCGCCGGTCCGTAGGGGTATCTCATGGTGTGTGGATTATTTCAGACATACATTCTAATGTCACATGAAGGTGGACTTTCTTTTTTTATTTTTCATCTTTAAAAAAACAGTTGTGACTGAGGTAGAGCATACAGCAGAGCACTGATTTTATGAAGTCTGAGTGTGTCTGCAGGTGTTACGCCTGGTCGCCGTTGTCTAGTGTAGCGCCTCCCTGTGCACTCACGTTCCTCCCTTGTGCCGCTTCCTACATACACCTGAGGGTTCACCTGCCACACCGTGCCGACTGTGCTGTACCTCTTCACTGAAGATCCCAGAACAGATCGGGTGTGGATGGGTTAGGTGGTAACTGAGAGTATCTGGGAAGTTCTTTCTTCTCAGTTCACCTGTGAAGTACTCTACATTATAACTGGTTGATTTTGTTTGTTTGTTTTGCTTTTAATACGTTTTATTCTGAATTGTTAAGAAATTGAATAATGTGGTAACATTTTAGATCATTTTAATACATTGTTAAACAAAAATAACATTTTTTTTCTTTTGAAATTTCTGGAATCTTTGAATTTCCTCCTTGCGCTAAAGCCTGCCAAAATAAAGTGATGATTTAATACAAATTTGTCCACAGCTTTGTTTGCTGGCAAAATGCTTTAAGCCTGCCCTTCCATACCTTGATGTGGACATGATGGATATCTGTAAAGAGAATGGAGCCTATGATGCAAAACACTTTTTATGTTACTATTATTATGGAGGAATGATCTATACTGGGCTGAAGAACTTTGAAAGAGCACTCTACTTTTATGAACAGGTAATCACCTCTCTGCGGGTCCCTGAGGTGGTTTTCAATTTGTGTGATCGAAGAAATACCCCTTGGGTTTATAGCTAGACTGGGTGAGAAACCTCTTGAGTTTCATGGGGAGTCCTTTCAAAGACCATTTCTCTGGTCATGTAAACGGCGGTGACCTGCTCCTGCTTAAGCAGAGGGGCAGTGGTGGTGTAGAAAAGAGTGCTAGCAGGTAGCTTCTAATCTGCCAGGGCCTTTCCACTTACACTCTATTGGATTTAGGGCAAGTTACATTTTTGTATCTTTATAGTTCTCTTTGTCCATAGGGAAGAGATTGATCAGATTAATTTCTGAGGTATCAACTTGTTCTAAAACCATGTGTGGTGTTTTATTAAGTTTTATATACAGTACTCTCATAATTCAAAATTTTAAAAGTAGCACATAGTGAAAAGATCCTTCCAGCCTTGCATGTGTCTCATCGTTGTCTGTGCAGTGAAGTATATTGCAGTTTGGTGGACTATTCAGGAGGTTTATTCTGGGTCTAAAAAAGATACACAGTATTGATTAATACCGGTGTTCTGAGGTAAACTAGTCAGATGCGTGGAAGTTCGTACTTAATTCTAGCATGCATCTTGAAAGAGCTCACAGTTTACTTGGAATACCAATTTATAATACACAGATACTAAATTAACCACCTTTCCGTTGCTCTGACAAAATACCTGACACCTACAATTTTAAAGATAGAGAGGTTTATTTGGCCCTTGTTTCAGAGGTTTCATTCAGTCCATGCTCATTCGGCTGCAGCGTAGAAACATGGCAGAAGAGGAAAGCTGCTAACCTCATGACAGCAAGAAGCAGAGAAGAAAACAGCCAGAGAGAAAGAGGCCAGGGACCGGATACAGTCCCCAAGCCCACACACTCCAGTGACCCACCCCCACACACCCTCCTTTCCTCTCCTAGTTTCTCCAGGTTTCTCCTAGTGTGCTTTACTCTCCTAGTTTCTCGGACTGATCAAGCTGACTGTCACCATGAGCCTTTACACGTACTCACTTGTGGGCTCTGAGCGGTGCTACTCCAAATGGTTGCTGAGAAGGGGCTGGAGATTTAGCTCAGCGGCAAAGCGCCTGCCTGGCAAGCGCAGGGTCGTGAGTTCGATTCCTGGTACCAGAAGAAAAACAAAAACAAAAACAAAACAAAACAAATGGTTGCTGAGAAAGCCTATACCGAGAAAGCCTTGGGAAGGCCCCATGAGGGGTGGTGGTCAGGGACCATGTCATTAAAAGATGTGTCTAGTCAGATTAAGTCTGCCAAGGTGACCTGTGTTCAAGAGTGCACGTTTAGGAAATGATAAAAATACACTTTGTAGCCACTAGATGCATTATTATAATACCAATGTCAGGGTGATATGGACTTTAAAAAGGCAGGAAAGTGTGCACTGCACCTAGAAAATATTTCTATCTCAAGCAGTCAAAACAGTAAAACATTTTAGATGTTTAAGGGATGATCTTGTTACCTGTAAATACATTTATTCCCTGAGTTTCACCTGATGATAAGCACTGTCTCTAGTGTTTAGTCTTCTTCATATAGCTTTTTTTCCCTTTATTTTGTTGCTTTGAGACAGGGTCTCCATGTATGCAGCTATGTCTTAATAATATGCATGTAGATGGTATTACTACTCTAATTTCAGAGAGGGTATATTTTTAAGAGCTTTAAGGAAAATTCCAAAAGAAGGATGTATTTATTGAGAAAATTCAGGTCATTTAGCAGGTGTAAAGCAAAAAGTGAAGCTAGCTTCATATCATACCACTTCATGGACTGACCTAGTCCCTGACCAGGGAATTCTGGTACTTCACAACTAAAAGAGTGCAGTACTGGGAATCATTGTACATGAGTGCTTGTGCACTTACGTGTTTCTGTAGAAGTCTCAAGAGTTACGGGTTTAGTAATTTGGATTTTGGTGGGGGGTTTTGTGGTGTTTTTTTGTTTGTTTTTGGGTTGTTTTTTTTTTTTTTTTTTTTTTTTTTTCAGTTTTTTCAGTTTTTTGAGACAGGGTCTCGCTATGTAGCCCAGGCTGGCCTCACAGCAATCCTCCTGCCTCAGTCTCCCGAGTGCTGGGATTATAGGCAAGTGGTTTGGATTTTGACTTGGAATATTTGTGCTCATTTGGATGTGATGGTTTTTCAATTCTTGTTGACGTTCATGAACCTAGCTGAAAGACAGTGAAAAGGCAGTCAAACAATGGGAGAAAATGTTTGCAGATCATATTTCTGTTAAAGGACTTGCATCTAGACTATACTGAGACCTTAACAACTCAAAACTAAGTCAGAGTTTTTAAACAGACAATGGATTTGAGTAGATATTCCGCCAAAGAAGATATGCAGATGGCTAACAGCCACCAGATAGATTCTTGTAATCATTAGTTACCAAGAGAATGCAGGTTCAAACCATAGTGTGATACCAGTTCATACCCACTGGAACAGCTAATGTATAACAGGTGTTGCTGAGATTTGGAAACTTTAAAACTCTTGTAATTGCCGATAGGATTACAGAATGATACGGTCACTTTGGAAAAGTTTGGCAGTTAAAATAAAACTTGGGCTAGGCATGGTGGCACAGACCTGGGAGGCTGGCAAGAGGATCACTGATTTTGAGGCCAGCCTCGGCTACATAGTAAGTTCAAGGCCAGCCTGAACTGCATAGCAAGACCCTGTCTCAAAAAAACAAAAAAAGGCCAGGTGTCGTGGCACACACCTATAATCCCCCGCACTGGGGAGGCCTAGGCAGGATTGCTGCCAGTTTAAGACCAGCCTGAACTACATAGCAAGACCGTGTCTCAAAAGACAAAAATAGGGGCTGGGGATTTAGCTCAGCGGCACAGCGCCTGCCTGGCAAGTGCAAGGTCATGAGTTGGATTCCTGGTACCAGAAAACAAACAAACAAACAAAATAAAAACCTTGGGCTGGGGGTGTGGCTGTGGCTTAGTGGTACAGTGCCTACCTAGCATGTGTAAGGCTTTGGATTCCAGCTCCAGCACAAAAAAATAGATTTTTTTTTCAAAATGTGAAACAGAGTTACCACATGACCCATCTATTTCCCTCCTAAGAATATTCCCAAGAGAAATGAAGGTTGATGTCCACACAAAAACAGGTACACTAATATTCAGAGTATCGTTATGCATTATAACCAAAAAGTAAAAACAAGTTAGAGATTCATCACTGAGGGGTAAAGTGCGGTGTATCTGCACAGTGGAATATTCTTCACTCCCACAGAGCAGTAAAGCGCTGATGCCTGCTGCGATGTGAAGGAACCTTGCAGTGTGGAAACACTAAGTTAGCGAAGCCAGTCCTTGCATCCTATGGTGCAGTTTACATGAGCATCCGGAATAGGCAAAGCCATGGACAGAAGATAGAGCAGTAGCGCTGCAGCTGTGGGGCAGGGGAGAGAGGGAATGATGGCTAATGAGTGAAGGGTTTCTTTTTGAAGAGATGAAAATGTAGAGAAATTAGGTAGTGATAATTTTTCAACATGGTGGATATATTTGAAGCCACCAAATTTTATACTTCAAAGGGATAAATTTTGTGCTATGAATTCTAGCTCAATAAAGCTGTTGTAAAAATAATAATGTTTCACTGATGGCACACCCTTAATTTCAGCGCTCTGGAAGGCTTGAGGCAGGAGGATCATAAGTTCAAGCCTATCCTGGGCAACTTAGGGACTTAATCTAGATTCTGTCTCAAAATTAAAAATAAAACAGATTGTAGCTCAGTACAAAGGCTCTAGGTTTCATCCCCAATATTGCAAATAATAATAGTAGTAATGATAAAAGAAATAATAACAGGACATTAAAATTTGTTTTATAATAAAGTGATACATGTGGTTAATTGCTGTTTCTTGCTACGTGTGTTCTGTTTACACTATCCATTCTTCTCTTGTTCAGGCTATAACTACTCCTGCTATGGCGGTCAGTCATATCATGTTGGAATCATATAAAAAGTATATTCTAGTGTCTTTGATATTACTTGGGAAAGTACAACAGCTACCAAAATATACATCTCAAATTGTGGGTAGATTTATTAAGGTAAGTTTTTAAAATCAAACTGACTTTCCTACATGTTAATAAGTACGTACAGTAATATTCCAACAGTGATAGAGTTCAGTCTTCTTATTTCATAGTAATCCAACTCTCAGCAGCCTCAGATCAGCAGGTATTTATGCAGTGTGTGTTGGGAGCCTGGGAGTGCAGCTGAGCCGGTCAGTGTGCATTGTGCTCTCCTGGTTGGCAGGAGCGTGTCTCAGGAACGGACTTCCAGAGCTTGGCTCTGGATATTTATGGTTATAGATGTGAAAGCCCCTACAGGGGTGGACTTTTGTCGTTGTATTTCTTCATTACATTTTAGTCAAAATACTGACAAAGTGGTGCTGACTTGATTGAACCTCAAACCTGCCCAAGAGTTAGGAAACCTTACCAGAGCCCTTGGAGGAGAACTACGAGCTTTGCTCCTGCACTTCTGTTTCTCACTGACAACCCAACCCAGGGACAGTCAAAACATAAGCTTCTCTTTAGATACGTGCTGTGGCTTCTTAAAAAGTAGAAAGAGAGAAAAAAGAGTAGTTCCAAAGAGTTATGAGGTCACAGTCGTTTTGGTAATAATTTTACCCTGATCCTCCTTGTACAGAACTCATAATTTTAGGGGCTGGGGATCTAGCTCAGTGCCACAGCGCCTGCCTGGCAAGCGCGAGGCCTTGAGTTCAATTCCCGGTACCGGGCAAAAAAAAACAAAAAACAAAAAAAAAAAATCATAGTACATGTTTAGCGGCTGGGGATTTAGCTCAGCGGCACAGCACCTGCCTTTCAAGCGCAAGGTCATGAGTTCAATTCCTGGTACCAGAAAAAAAAGAAAAAAGAAAAAAAAAAAAAAGGAACTCATAATTTTAGATGAGATGATTTCCTGGCTTATTGTCAGTAAAATATTATGGCATAAAACAAATTCTTAAAAAATACATACTGAAGTATTCAAACAGTACAGAAAAGCATAAAGAAAAATCCTCTGTGTGTTAAGGACACAGTGCTGCGAGCAGGGTAGCGGGTGTCTTCCGCCTGAGAGCCCTGTTGCGGTTCTCAGGCTCTGGCTGCCTGGTGATAGGTGAGAGCTATGGGGGGTTGGTGTAGGGCAGCCGCTCTCACATCGCTGTCAGGAACCTTCCAGGGTCCTTCCAGCGGCCCCCGAGCCAACCTGTTGTAGAAGGAATGTCTTATAAATTACACCTTCACAGGTTGGGGCATCATTCACAATACTTAATTTATTTATGATAATATAAATGGTAAAAAGGGCACAGAGATTTCAGAGAGAAGCGGGTTTCAATCCAGTGTTTGCCTGTTGATAGTGTTCCTTAGGACCATTCTACATTCTCTTGGACCTCCGCCTTAATCTCTTAACAGAAGTACAAGTGCGCCTAGTAAGACTGTGTGGGTGTGTTTTAGAGAGCTGAAAATGATATTTTCCTCTTTTTCCAACTGTAATTTGTCAACAGAAAAAAATATGACCACTAGAAAAAAAGACACGTGTTTTCACTAAATTAAGTGAACTTTCACTTGCTTTATAGTTATTTGCTCTTTGCTATAAAGTTTTATTGACAACAAATTACTCCACAGTGAGTTTCTACCTTTGGTCTTAAAAACCACACAGTTTCTAAGTGCAGTGGTACAGCCCTATAATCCCAGGTACTTGGGAGGTTGAGGATCACAACTTAAGAGGCCAGCCTGGGCAACTCACTGAGACCCTTTTTCAGGGATGAGGATGTGGCTCATTGCTCCCTGGGTCCAATCTGTAGCACCACCACCACCAAAAAAAAAAAAAGGGTTGGGGGGGGGCAACAAAAGCCAGGCATTTGTTTTGGTTAAATTATCATTTGTTAGAAACTACATGGAGTGTATTTACTCAAAATGTAATACCATAAGTTTCTTTTTGTTTTTACTTTATATACAAATTGTACTCCTCTGAAACTTTAACTTGACATTTTCCTGCCTTCAGCCTCTCAGCAATGCATACCATGAGCTAGCACAAGTTTACTCAACCAATAACCCCTCAGAACTCCGGAACCTGGTCAACAAGCACAGTGAAACTTTCACACGCGATAACAACATGGGCCTGGTGAAGCAGTGCTTGTCTTCCCTCTATAAGAAGAACATTCAGAGGCTAACGAAGGTGAGGCGAGAGCTGCCCGCGACGGCATCTCTGCATTCTCTTGGACCTTGTTTCTCCTCTTTCCCTTCTTGGCAGTGAGGAGCAGGCACAGGCGTTCAGAGTGGCAGGCTTTCTGTAGAGAGATCTTCCACGGTGGCTGCGTTTTTAGTTTGATTGGTACCTTTTGGTCTTTTCAGGGCTAGAGCAGGGTATTTGAGAAGAGGAGGAAAGGTAGGAGATACGGCTACACTGGGAGTAGAGAAAGTAGCCTTGGAGGGGTCACCAGTTCCAGGTGGGAAGCTGGGGGCGGAGAACTGGCCTTGGGAGTTCCCAGGCTGTGCTCCCCGCTGCTTGAGTTTCTGTAACATCCTGTGACACTGATGTGATTGTTGCCAGGGTTACATAAGCCATGTACAGTTGAACCCTAGGATGTAGGCAAGTTGTAATTTTCAAGATGAAAATAATCTGATTTTTTTTTTTTATTAAAAAGTATGTTCGCCTGTAATCCCAGCACTCTGGAGGCTGAGGCAGGAGGATTGTTGCGAGTTCGAGACCAGCCTGGGCTACAAAGTGAGCTCAAGGTCAGCGTGAACTGCATAGTGAGACCCTGTCTCAAAAAGACAAAAAAAAGTATATTAATAAGTGTTAGTGCAGGAAAGTACAAAAAGAAAATAGTCATCTGTGTTAAAAAGTCACACACTGCAAGCAGTAGGGATCTTCCTGAGGGAAGCTTAAACACAGTGCCTTGCTTTTTTTCTGGTGGCAAAAGTCTGGTCAGAGAGCCAGCAAGCAGTGCACCAGTGGAGAGAATGTGGTGATCCCTTCCCTGTGCAGCTGCCAGGCTGCCCAGCAGTGGAAGGGGATGGTGGATTTGGCAATTTGAGATCTCAGGGCAGGAGACTTGCCCCAGGAAACTAGAAAAAGAGCCGTGAGATGGGATAGTCCTGGAGGTGGGCAGGCCGTGCCAAAACAAAGGCTCTTGAAGAGGAGAGGAAGGATGTGAGGAGGCAGCCACTGCACAGGAGGAGGAATTCCCTCCGGATACTCCAGGGAGAGTAACTAGAGCTTGCTGACTCACATAAGAAGATCCGCAAAGAATCTGTAAGAAGTTAATTTGTAAGAGTAAAGTAGGGCTGGGATTTGGTCCAGAGGTAGAACACTTGCCTGGTGTGTACACGGCCCTGGGTTCAGTCCCTGGCAACACACACACACAGGAAAAAAAATGTGAAAAGTAACTCAAGGTAGATCAAAGCTGGGCATGGTGGCATTAGCGATTCAGTGAGACCCTGTCTCAAAATAAAATATAAAAAGGGATTAGGGTGTGGCACATCTGTAGCCATAGCACTCTGGGAGGCTGAGCCAGGAGAGTCGCAAGTTTGAGATCAGCCTTGGCAACTTAGTGACTGAGACCCCGTCTCAAAGTTAAAATTGGGCTGAGGATGTAGCTTAGTACAGAGGCCCTGGTTTTAAGCCCCAGTACCATAAAAATAAAAAGGATTAAAAAATAAATGTGACCTTGTCAACCAGAGAAAAACCAGCTTGACCTGGAGACTAAAAAGATCAATCTAAGCAATGTAACGGGTTAGCAGAGGCAGGAGGGCTGTAAATTTGAGACCAGCCTGGGGAGTTTAGCAAGGCCTCGTCTCAGAATAAAATATGGCTAAGGGTGTAGCTCAGCAGTGAGGTGCCTCGCTCGGCTCTGCGGGGAACACTCGGCCGCAGTCCCTCGCCTTGGCGTGGTTGGTAGTGTGTACTCTGAGACCACCGCATGGTGCGCTGCGGTTTTGTGTCGTGACAGGAGTGTGGCCGAGCAGGAGAAGTGTGTGGTGGCCAGGGCAGGCTGGCAGTGGCTCCTGGGCCCTTCATGTGCTGACGCACGGTGGATTGTGGCAGCCTGGACTGTGAGCACTGCGGAGGCCACTAGAGGATGGTCACACGAAGGTGTAAGGAGGGACAGTGTCCCTGAAGACCCTGTCTAACCCAAAGGAATTCTCTGGCCAAGTGAAAAGAAGTTAAAAAATCAAAAGATTTTCAGGAAATGTCCACAGCAGCCGTGTCAAGGCCTTCCTGGCTGGAGACAGCGACAGCTAAGGGCTGTCAAATGGGAGTTTAATCCGCCCCTTCAGTGCCGAGAGGTTACTCTGTATTGACGCAGTGTGAACGTTTTTCTAGACCCCCCTAGCTTCTCTCTCTCCTGTGTGTGTGCACACTCTCAGCTATGTGTAGTTGAGGTCATTCTGCGTGCCTTTTCCACCTGCAGTATTTGTTCAGTACATCATGAATCTCTTCCACAGCAACACGAGCCTGTGTCACAGGCTGTACGGACAGTTCGTAATTCGCCCATCTAGTCCTCTGCTTCGGTTAGTTCTGAACTAGGGAAGATGAGTTTTATATATTTAGAAATGTTCACTTTTGAGCCCTCACTTTGTGTTAAACCAGTCACATACTTCTTAACATTAGCAAAATACCTTCAGTTCCTCAGGTGGTAGCCTCCCAACTTAAGTGTGTATACTTCTTTTTTTTTTTTTAAGCTTATCAAGAATTTGAGGCTAAAAAAAAAGAATTTGAGGCTGGGGGTGTAGCTCAGTGGTGTCGCATGTGTGAAGCTCTGGAATCCATCTGCAGCCCTGCCCTCAATTCCCCAATTTTTTTCTTTCTTTTAAGACTACAGTTTTAACTTGCCTAACCCTGAAGATGTCATAAATTTTGCCAATTGCCATTGAGAAAAAGCTCTTTTAATTTGTTACTGAAAGGGAGCATTTTCATCAGATTCCAGCAAAGCAGTGGTAAATACTGGTTTCCTTTGTGCATCAAAGGTAGTCTTTCTCTGTTGGTTTACTCTTTTGTTTAAAATTTTAACTTTGAATTTTGAAGGATGAATGTGATTTTTTAAATTTTATTTTAATAGGTAATACATTTGTAATACAAAATTCAAAAAAAGTAACATAAATAAAGATCCCCACCTCATTTCTGTGTCCCAGCCATTCTTTTCTTTTTTTTTCTTTTTCTTTTTTTTTTGCATTGTGGGGGTTCAAACCCCAGGGCCTCTCACATGTCAGGCAAGGGTTCTGCCACAGAGCCACATGCCCAGACCCCCTCAGCCGTCCTTATCTTTTCTCCAGAAGCAGCCCAGTGATACAAGGGGGTCTGTCCAGGTGTCCTGAGTCCGCTCCATGTGCACATGCACACATGCACATACGTGTACAAGCAGTCTTTCCCTTACGTTCATCTACACAAATGCTAGCATGCCAGGTACACTGTTAAGCAGCCTCCTTTTTTTTTCTGTGTACTAGTGATAAATGTATTTTGGATTCCTTTTCAGTTCATAAAAGTTGTCCTCACTTTTTTCTTTTTATAGCTGCATAGTGCATTCGTATATCTGTAGCTACTTTAGCAAAACAACTTTCTTGTGTTTGTGTGCGATTAATTTCACTTCTGATTTTTAGACATTTTTAACGCTATCATTACAAGATATGGCAAGTCGTGTGCAGTTATCTGGGCCTCAGGAGGCAGAAAAGTATGTTCTACACATGGTAAGTGTGTTTTCCTTTACAAAAATAGTAGATTATTTCCCTGAGAAAGTACCAAGTATTCATTATGGATAAAACACAAAAGAAGGACGGGGGTTGGAGAGACGTCCAGAGTCAACCCACGGTGACATTTGGTCTATTTCTTCGTGTGTAGGATTTTCCAGTTATTGTTGTATTAGTCGGATGTGTGTTAGTATAATGAAATACACGAGGAAGCTAACATTAAAGTAGGAAAAGCCAAAGCTTTACTTAGGCCACAGTTTTGGATGCTCAAGTCCAAGGTGGGCGGCCCCTTTGGTTTGGCCTCTGGTAGCATGTCCCGGCAGGGGCGCGTGTAGAGCCAGTCACACCGTAACCAGAGCAGAGAGAGGCAGGGGCTCCAGAGCCCCCTCAGGCACTCCTGTGGTGACTCGAGTCTCCCCACAGGCCCTTCTGCTTCACAGCTGCACCACTACCTCCCAGCAGCACACTGCAGACCAGGCCTTCAATAGTAATAAATCTTTTGGGGACATGCAGACAATTAAATGGTGTTCAAATTATGGCAGTAGTTACCCATTATTTACCCTGTTTGTCCCCTTTTTTTCGTTTTTTTTTGTCTTTTTTTGAGACAGGGTCTCCCTACACTGTTCAGGCTGGCCTTCAGCTCACTTTGTAGCCCACGCTGGCCTCAAACTTGAAGTGATCCTCCTGCCTCAGCCTCCTGGGGGCTGAGATTACAGGTGTGCACCATGACACCTGGCTGTTGTGTCCTACTTGTGTTCCTTATTTATTATATTTACACGTTTTCATCATCAGTTTTTCTAAAGCTCAGAAAACATTGTTTCATGTAAACACCCAAGAAATACTTCAGATATACAGAGAGGCATAAAGTAGTATGATTCTTTCTGTTCTGTGATAAGATCACCAGCTTGCTCCAGCTGTACATCAGGGCACCCTGCAAGAAAGGTTCAACGCTGTGCCGATGTTGACCTACATTCTCACGGACCCCTTACCCACTGTGGCCAGTTCAGTGTGTGATTTAGAGTAGCGCTGGCACAGGGGACACTCGGATAAACACCAGCATTCTCAGCGCGCGGCTTCAGAGATAGATAAAATCCACCAGCACACTGACACCCCGCTTTATTCCACTTAGGTGTGTCTCCCCACTGTCCCTGTGTAGTTCAGGGTGGGCTGAAAGCGATCCTGCCTCAGCCTCCCGAGTGCTGGGATTCTAGGCATAGACCGCCACGCATGGCTGCTTCTCACTTCCTGACTTCATGGTTATGATGTGCTGGTGACGGTTGGGTGAATCTCCAGAGTCAGCAGTGGTGGAAAGTTTTCTGGAAGACTCAGAAGATAACTGCCACTGACTGTTAGAGCTTCACCTCCTAAATGTAGTACAGTATTTGAATTGTATCTCAGTTAAAGGGGCATTTAAAAACAAGAGAAGATGGGGCTGGGGAAGTAGCCCAGTGGCATAAGCGCCTGCTTGGCAAGTGCAAGGTCGTGAGTTCAATCCCCGGTACCGCAAAAAAAAAAAAACAAACAAAAAAAAAAACAAAAACTAAAAATTGAAGAGCCAGGCTGGGGCTGTAACTCAGTGGTATAGCACTTGCCTAGCACATGCAAGCCTGGGTTTCATCCACAGCAACCCTTACCCTCCCCAGAAAAGGCAAGGGCACCTCAGCAGTATTGTACTAGGTGAAGCCAGGCAGCAGAGACAGATACCGTACGATTCCATTGACAGAACATGTGTGGCTCGGTAACTCCATAGAGACAGAAAGCAGACGAGTAACTGCAGGAAGCTGAGGGAGGGAGGGATGTGGAGTGACTCCGAATGGATACGGAGTTTCCTTTTACGGTGATGTACTTGTCGTAGACTAGATAAAGGCACTGATTGCACAGCACTGCGCTAACTGCCTGAATCACTCACTTTACAGCGGTCAGCTTTGTGGATTTACCTCAGGTAAAAAAACGCAAAGGCAGGGATTTTGTGTGTGTCAGCTTCGTGTGTACTCCTTAGTTCTCTGATGGGATAGTAGTAAGCACTGTACAAATTGACGGCAGTTAAAACACACACACAGTCAGATGTGGTGGTCCGTGCCTATAATTGTGACTCTTTGGGAGCCTAAAGCAGAAAGATTGTGCGTTAGGCCAGCCTAGGCAACTTAATCAGACTTCTCAAAAATAAAGGACACATGAAAGTTCATTTATGAGTTGCTTTCTGTGCTTTTTCCTGGTCATACCAGTGGCGAGATACCTAGTATTCTAAGCTGCTTTCCCTATTTTATTTTTTTGTAGATAGAAGATGGTGAAATTTTTGCAAGTATTAACCAGAAGGACGGTATGGTCAGTTTCCATGATAACCCTGAAAAATACAATAACCCAGCCATGCTCCATAACATCGATCAGGAGGTAAGCGGCTACCAGGGTTCGACCTCCTTGACGAGCACTGCTGTGTGGAGTGCTGCTGTGAGCTCCAGAGTAATTCTGCTGTTTAAATACAGGCAGTTCCCACCTGCAAATGCTGCCTGCAGAGTTCACTTCAGAGTGGTCGCTTAAAACCCTCCTGGGTTGGATGGCTATATATAAATGTGGTCAGATTTCCCCCCTGGCTCACTCTGAAAATACTGAGAGGTCTGGAACCACCTTAGCCACACCCACTTACATGGAGTCTGGGCAGGGAGGTTAGGGGCAAGGCTTGTCACGATGGGGGAGAGGGGCAGAGCCAGCCCGGAGTGCCTGCCGGCGGCAGCGTGAGCTGCAGCGGAGGCCCTCTGTGCCTCCTGGGGCAGGCAAACTGTTCGGGGCTGGCTCCTGGGGCTGAGGTGGTCAGCAGCACAGTCTGTGTCTCTTACCTATAAGCAGGAAAATGGTTGAGCCAGCATTACCTTATTAGCAGCCTGAAAGCAACACACAGTAACACAGGATACCTCTACAGTCTGTTTTTTGCAATTTTAAAATTTAAAAAACAATGCAGCCTGAAAGCTGGAAGTTTACTGAGTAATTCAGTGTGTAGGTTTTATTTATCTCACTTAGTATGAATATACTTGTTTCACTGTGAAAGATGCTGAATGTGTTTGACCAGGGGTGCTGCCTTGGCCTTGCCAGGGTATTAGGTCATATGTAGTACAGTGATAACCTTCTAAACCCAAAATAATTCTGACTCCAAAACGCATTAGCCCAGGGGGTTCAGGTCGGGGTCATGAACCTGTGGCTCCCACATTAACAGTCCAGGTTACAGAAGATGTGATTGACACAAGTGTACCTGCTGACCAAGTTCACCTGGGTCTGTTGTACAGATGCTGAAGTGCATAGAGCTGGACGAGCGGCTGAAGGCCATGGACCAGGAGATCACAGTCAATCCCCAGTTTGTGCAGAAGGTGAGTAGGGATTCCCTCCTGGTTGGAGTGGGGTTGGGTGGAGAGGGGGCGTGTTGTCACGTAAGGAGGGAGCTTGGTTTCGGATTGTAAAGTTGCCATTGTTCTTGAAACCCATCATCAGGAAGTTTACACAGATACTCTTCCTAAGAGCATTTTCATGGGTGTGTAATCCCAGCACTCGAGAGGCTGAGGCAGGAAGATCATTGCAAGTTCGAGACCAGCCTGGGCAACAAAGTGAGCCCAAGGCCAGCCTGAACTAACTGCATAGCCAACCCTGTCTCAAAAAAAAAAAAAGCATTTTCAGCAGTGGCCTGAAGTGTGCTTAGGGGTGCTGGTGGAGGGTCCTGAGCTGTTGTTCTTGCTGTTCTCAGGGCAGCTTTGCTCTGGGTCGTAGGAATGGGGAGAGCGGGTATGCTTGTTTGGGGCTGCAGACCCTTGACAAAGGTGACCATAGACCCTCTGCCTCACTCCCCTGCACAGAGTATGGGCTCACAAGAAGATGATTCAGGAAACAAACCCTCCAGCTATTCTTGAAACTCACACCTACCCTGAGTGCAGCAGGAGAAGCGGTCACTTTGGTCGGCGGCCAGCGCGTGAGAGGAGGGCGGCAGGGAGCAGCGGCCTGTTCCACCTGGACGCTGAGAAACGCAATTCTGTCCTGACATCTTCAGTCCTATGTGCTTTCAGAAAACCTCTCTGCAAAGAAAGGAAAAGATTACAAACTTTAGGGTCTGTTGTGGATTTATTTATCCTCAGATTATTGTTATTGCATTAAATTTACCTTTTCGTTTTAGTCCTTGAACGCTGATGTGTCTTCTCTGTCACCCCCCTTGGAAAGGGTGTAACAAACCCCGTCACTGTGAACAGCAGTCGTTGGATTTCAGGAATATTTGGAAGAATTGAACCTAAAAGGGAATGTCAGGACCCCCAGAAAAACTGGCCAGGTGTGGGGGTGCACGCCTGTAATCCCAGCACTGGGAGGCTAAGGAAGGAGGGTGGGAATTCAGGCGCAGCCCGGCATCTTGGTGACTGGATGAGACTCCTCAAGATAAGAAGAGCTGGGCATGTGGCTCAGTGTGAAGGTCCTGGTACAATGTCCAGCACCACAGACGAACAACTGAACGAGTCCGCAAGATACGAGCTAGTTTTCGAAGTTTGAGTTAACGGGTATATTCCTGACAGTCTGGGTCGGAACCAACGTACTGCTGGTTCTTAGACACTCTAGCCTTTGGTGTGTGCTACCCTCGGTCGTCTCACCGTGTCCCGCCACCTCTGCTTGCAGCGAGCGGCCTCTGCTCCCCTCCGGAAGCGCTGTCCGGTGAGCTGCGCAGGCAACTTCAATTATGTTCAGGGTTCCTCCTTTGGGACTTTGGACTGGGATTCACTGGGTTAGCCCCAGAATAGGGTGGGGCCTTTGTGAAGTGTGGTCAGATGAAAGTTTGAGTTAACATTTTTAAATTTGGTTTTTGAAACACATTTCTTGAGGCTAGGAGTTTAGCTCTGTAGTGTTGCCCTGGCATGCAGCAGGAGACCCTGTGTTCTATCACCAGGTTCTAAAAATTTTTTCCTCTCGCTAGCAGCATTCCTTTTTTCAAATATGCCAAGTTGTATGGTAAATCCCATTTTCATTATTTTATTGTTGTTTTTATTTTTGGCAGTACTGGGGATCAAACCCAGGGTCTTTGCACTAAACTACATTCCCATTCCTTTTATTTTTTATTTTGAGACTGGCTGGTCTAACTAAGCTGCTGGTTACCCAGACCTGGCTTGAACTTGTGATCCTCCTGCATCAGCCTCCCAGAGTACTGGGATTACAAACACAGATTACTTCCATGTCCAGCACAGCTCTCAGAGTTCCTGGGGTGGTGAGTGGGGGAGACAAGAGGATGGAGAAATAAAAATAAGAGACAGCTGAGGTCAGGTGGAGCCCTCCAGATGGGGGAGAGGAACTGTTTAACCTCTGCAGTGCGTTTGTCCACCTGTCACGTGACACCCTTTGCTTAACTAGCTTGCCTCTTACATTGGACCACGCTTGGCTTTCTCGGTCTGGTCTGCTGAAGCAGTTCTGCGTTGGTGCAGAAAGCAGCTACAGTCGGTCTGTGAGTGCAGTCTGAGTGAGTGTTGCACTAAAACGTTACTCATGCGAAAGCAGGCACTGGCTGAATTTGCCCAGCAGCCAGGAGTGCTGCCCCTTGTTTAAACTCACTCAGAGTTACTCCTGCCTGAGGGGTGCGTAACTTTCGCGGAGGCTTCCTGCAGTCAGGAGAAGAGGAAGCGCTGCATTTAAAAGGAGTTTATCTTTTATTTGTATAGTGAATTGCAGACCCTGTTTTTAAAAATTGAATAACCTGATTTATCTGGATCTAAAAATTACCTAAAATGTGTTCAGGAGCTCCTACCAGCTACCGATGGTGTCTAAGTAAAAGAAAAATTCTTACGGACTTTAATGATGTGACACTATTACAATTTTCCCAAGGTTGACTCGTTACAATACTACACTATGAAAGCCTTGAACTTTGAAGGGGTGTGGGATTGAGGGCCTTTGTCCCCTCTCTGCAAACCACTGGCTTTCGCCAGTGTTCAGGGCGGTGCTGGTTGTTCCTGTCGGCTTTATTGATTGTTTTTTTGTTTTTTTAGTTTTTTCCGGTACCAGGAATTGAACTCACGACCTTGCGCTTGCCAGGCAGGTGCTGTGCCTCTGAGCTAAATCCCTAGCCCCTCCTGCTGGCTTTAAAATGCCCCTTCCTGTTTTCAGGTTTGCGATTCTGGGCCACAGTTTCGAAGCAGCAGGAAGGGAGCCAGGTGCCCATTTGCCACTGAGCACTGCGGCCCAGCAAGCGTACTCCTAGTAAGAGCAACTCATCCGGTTCATTTTCCCCCCAGCCCTCTACAATGGGCTTCAGCTCACCCTGAGAGATACAGATCCAGGAAGCAGGGTCCCTATCTCCCTACACGGAAATCAGGGACACAGCCTCCCTGCCCCTTCCAGACTTCCAGATTCTATTAATCATGGTCCCTGGGGCTGGGGATTTAGCTCAGCTGCTCAGTGCCTGCCTGGCAAGCGCAAGGTCATGAGTTCTGTTCCTGGTACCGGAAAAAAACAAAACAAAAATATCCTGGTCCCTTTCGTTTTCTCCCAGGCCCTAAAGAAAGAGACTTCTTTCTTCTCCAGTACCTGGTTGATGGCTATTCCCAAATTTTTTCTGTTCAACTCACCCAGCCCAGTGGCCCATGCTAGTAATCCCAGCTATTTAGGAGGCTGATGCAGGAGGGATGCAAGTTTGAGGCCAGCCTGGGCAATTTGATGAGAATCTGTCTCAAAAAAAAAAAAAAAGGCTAAGAATGTAGCTCACTGACAAGAGTTTGCCAAACATCCATGAGGCCCCTGGTTCAATCCCCACCACTGGAGGAGAAAAAAGAAAAGCTCCAAGTAACCTGGTGAGTGGTTTCTCTCCAGACACAAGTTACTTTTGAAAATCCTCCAGGGCCAGGGATTTAGCTCAGTGGTATGGCACCTGCCTGGCAAGTGTGAGGTCCTGAGTTCAATTCCCGGTATCAAAAAAGGAAAAAGAAAATCTTCCAGGTCAAGGGGATGCATATATGTCATTTATTTTTAAAAAGAAAATATTTCAGAACTTGATACCTGCCGCCTCTGGCAGGTATGTGCCTATGCTCTGATGGTGTCGCGTGGAAAGTTAGGCTCATTTGCTGCATGAGTAGCTAAGAGAGACTTGGCTGTTCCTTTAATTCTCAGCAGCAAATTACACTTTCTGAAACTGTGGACTTAGAACAGCTGTGGCATTTTGACAGAGCCAGAAATGGCGAGTTTGCCCTTAGGACAATTAGGATTTCTGAGGCCCCAGGATGTAGCCTTGGGTCCGCGTTCACTGGTGGACCTACCAGTTGTGTGAGGACTTTTCCCAAGTTTCTCTTCCTGGTAGTCTGAAACGTTAATGTTCCTGTTTATCAAGAATTAATTGCCCTCAGGCTGGGGATTTAGCTCAGCGGCAAAGCGTCTGCCTGGCAAGCGCAAGGTCGTGAGTTCAATTCCTGGTACCGGAAGAAAACAAAACAAACCAAAACAAAGAATTAATTGCCCACTGAATCCAGTACTTGCGTTACATTGTATTTCTATTTTGATTGATGGCAAATGAGCCACTCAAAAGCGACTGCTTAACTTTTAATATAGACTCAAGTAAGTATGCTGGAGAGATCTCCAGTTTGGAAAATATTGGTACAAGGTATTCTTTAAAGAAACATCTGGAAGCCAGATGTGGTGGCGCACGCCTGTAATCCCAGCATTCAGGAGGCTGAGGCAGGAGGATTGTTGTGAGTTTGAGGCCAGCCTGGCCTACAAAGTGAATTCAAGACCAGCCTGAACTGCATAGTGAGACCCTGTCTCAAAAAGGCCCCCCCAAATAAATAAAATACAGAAACATCTGGTTGTATTCTTTTGAAAGGGCAGTGTTTTGGAGGCAGAGCGGCACTCCTAGGCAATAAAGCCGCGGGGGTTTTCTGCCCCGTGTGGATGACACTGTCTTTCCTTTGCTCAATACACTGAAATCAGCCAAAGCTAGGTAGCACGGCATGTCTGTGCAAGATCGCAAGTCGCCTCCATCAGTGACTCACGCTGGTGGACTCCAAGCCGGGACATTTCCTTTTCTAGCAGGACGGGAAAGTTAAGTCCAAGCTGTTTGAGTGTTCCGAACTGTTGGTATTCCCCGGTGGACTTGCCCTGCTCAGCTTCCCATGGCGTCTCTGCCATGGCTGCCTGATATACCAGTGCTCTGTTAACTTGCTCTTCAAAGGTGAAGTTTTGGGTCTATAAACTCTAAGTTTTTGTGAGTTGCAAAGGGCCCAGAGAAAGGAGATGGCTGGGTAACCAGATGTTTTTGAGTAGGAAATGTGATGGCCATATTTTCAGGCAGTTGAATTCCTCCGTGATGGTAAAAATGACAAGTGTATCCCTTCCTAAGATCAAGAGCTGAAGCCAGAGAACTTTTGCTAATGACAAAAGGCAATTTAATATGTCTGAATCCTTAGCTGATTAGAAACCACTTAGAGACCACTTGGCATTTAAAAGGCAGCTAGTTTCAGGTTAAAACTCTAAAGCCTAGCAGTTGAATTTGAATTGGGAGAGGAAGATCAATTTTGAAAGCCTTCTTGAAATTGCTAGAGTAGGGCCAGGGATATAGCTCAGTGGCACAGTGCCTGCCTGGCAAGTGCAAGGTCCTGAGTTCAATTCCCAGTACCAAAAAGAAAGAATTGCTATGGTAAAAAAAATGCTACCTTAGTCCTACTGCCCTTTTTAAAAGGTTTTTTTTTTTTTTTGTAGTGCTGGGGATTGAGCCCAGGACCTTGTGCATGCCAGGCAAAAACTACCACTGAACCACATTCCCAGCCCAGTCCTAGTGCCCTTAAAAAAAATATATTGAGCTGGGCTTGGTGGCACACACCTGTAATCCCGGCACTCAGGAGGCTGAGGCAGGAGGATCGTTGTGAGTTCAAGACCAGCCTGGGCTACAAAGTGAGCGCAAGGCCAACCTGAACTGCATAGCGAGACCCTGTCTCAAAAAAAGACTAAAAATATATATATATATATTGGACTAATAATTCAAACCTTGTAACTGGCCGGACACTTATAGCCTAATTACCTAAAATTAGCTTGAACTTCAGTGTGACTTAGAAACTGTATGTCAGTTACACCTGAGGTATTACCCCTTGCTTGCTTCCTTCTGGCAGCTGGCAAAACACCCCCTGAAACTACTTAACACAGCTGAAAATACAGGGAATATTTTCTTG